CCAAGGAATTAATTAAGGCTAAGAGGTAACCCATGTCTCAACAAAACCTATTTTCATAGCTATGATTTCCCCCGTAGGATTTCCCCATATTATTGTGTATTGATGATTTGTGATATTATTATTGATGATTGATGGGATAATTCCATGGGTGATCTTGATATTGAGAGATTCTTGATAATTATGGTATTCTTGATGATTATGTGGAGTTCTTGATGTTTATATGTCGTTCTTGATAATTGTATGGCATTCTTGATGCTTATGTGATATTCTTACCGAATCTTGTAATTAGAAGACGAATCGTATTCTTGTTGGTATAAAAGTGATTAGAACCCTAGGTTGTATCGTATGATATTATTCTTGGTGTATCGGATGGGAAATCGCATGTTTGGGTGTCGATTATGTTTAGAAAAGCATGATAGGTTATGTGCCGTACGTTTATCGTATTTGATCCGTTAATTGTCTACGTGTTGATCGTTAATTGCGTTGTAAAGTGACTAAGCATGGTTTCGGGTTCCACAATGGTTCCCGGGGCGTTTTGTGTATAAAGAGTCAGTGGGGGGTAGGTGGGGGGGTAGGGGACCCGCCACCTACCCGCGGCCAGAAGGGACGTCTCCGGCAGCGGGCAGCTGCCCGCCGGCGACCCGCTGCCCAGAACAGTGCTTACCGGCGGGCGCTGGAAATCTCCCCCATTCGGGACCCCGGCTTCCCCGTTTGATGTTTCCCTGATCCCCGTGGTGTCCCAACGGACTCCGTTCATCGTGCCGTGTCTAGTTTGATGTTTCGGGTACCGTTCGTAGGTTTATGAGTCTTATATATTGCATGCTAGTTGAATTGGTATCCCGTTGACCTAGGTGGAAGAAGTATGAACCCCTTAGGACCATTCTTAGTATGTGAAGGATCACGCATAGGTTTTGTTATACGCTTTCTCCCCTTCCCAATGTGTTAATGTGGGTTGCATGTGCTTGCTATGTGTTATGTGTGCATGACACCCCAATTCGGTTGCGATCGGATTGGTTATTCCTGAGCTGCGGTTCAGAAGCTGGCTGCGGTCAGAATTACACTCTTGGGTTGCGGTCCACCGTTTGGTTGCGATCAAACGTTTCTACATGAGCTGCGGTTCATATTTCCTGGCTGCGGTCAGATGACATTCTCTTGGGCCGCGGTCCACTGTTTGGTTGCGATCAAACATTATGATGAGCTGCGGTTCATCGGTCGGTTGCGATCGACCCCTCCGTGTTGCGTTACGGGGCAGGGTGCTGCGGGGCCGTGTCAGAGCTATATGCGCTGACCCTCATGTATGGGCATGCGATTGGTCCTGTGGCGCCAACAAAGTGTGCTATGTGATGAGATATGGATGAGTTGTGATTATGAGTATCTTGGGGGATGTGACTAGGGGATTTACACTGGGAATCGCATGTGTTGGGTTATGATCATTAATTATGCTTATCTTTACTTGTCTTGCCTGTTTGTAACTATATATGTTGGTTTAACTGCTGTCTGTGTTTAACCCTATCTGATGAGTCTATCCCTATTTTGAAAGCTAGAGTTCGTAGGATGTATCCTCATGATCAAAATGGTTTTCGTATATCTATATATATCTACATGTATTGTATTTCAACGCGTTGGAGTGGGTTACCAGCATCTCTCGCTGAACAGATATATTTGGCTTTCAGGCACAGATGAGTAGATCACTGGAGCGCGCTAAAAGCTTGGGGCATAGCTTAGATAGTTTTCCCTTTCGGCCTGCGTGCCGTGATTTAGCATTGACACTGTTTGTGATTTTAGAATTTAGCCTGTGCACCCGAGTTCTCTAGCTCGGGTGTGGCATAACACCCCGTACTCTTTGTATCGTATTTTGGGATTTAATGAGATTCTACCTTTATTATATAAGTTTTAAAAGTCTTGAAAATCTGGGGTGTTACAACTGCCCTTGGACTAAAAAGTTCTATAGTGGATACCCAACCTAGCTGGCACCTAGGTTCAATGGGACAACTAAATTATGGAACGGAGCGCATCACTGTGGGGGTCTCGGACTCCCTACCACTCCTCGTTAAAACAGTGACTCCCGCAAGAGGCTAGCATGTTAATGCTTTAATGATTCTTGAGTATGCGAGATACTCGAGAAAGAATCACCTATGTTAGAGAGAAGTGAGGGTCGCTTCAAAGGAGAATTGTTGGGCACAATTCTTTAGAAACTCTCGCAGAACCAGGAACGGTGACCCACGACCAAAACGGGCACACTCATGAGAGCAAGAGCATGGTTGGGAGATTCCTGTGTGAGATATGCCATCGTCTACACAAACGGCAGTCGGTTCAAAGACATCGCGTTCTACCGTACAGCCAGTAGAGTAAACATGTATTCACGAGGGAAGGTTCAAAGGGTATAGTGACTCCCTACCTATCCTATGCAGGGATCGACCGTTTGAACACAGTTGTTTCCTATTTCAAAATACCCCGAAAATCAATTTTCATTCATGTGGGGGATTGTTGGAAAAAATAGCTTAAAATGGCAAAAAATGGCATGTTAAGTGGCTATTTTGTGGTACAATTATCAGTGGGGTCCACTTCCGATTTGAGTCGGGTCAAAGTGGATTCGGATACTTCGTAGTGAGACGAAAAGATTGATATATTGTACGCTCAAAACGGATAATGGGTGAATGAGATATTGATTCTCAAAGTAGACCCATTTGAGTTGGAAAATGAAGGGAAAAAGTGAGCTTTTGTCCCACATTGCTTTGGAATGAAGATTTTCCCCCCTTATATACAAGAGCTCTTTTGAAGCTTGTAGAATTGTATAGCATAGAGGCTCTCTCGCGCGGAGGGGGGGGGTGCAAATCAAGTTTCAACTAGCAGAGATTGAAAAAGGCTTGATTCAAGCCCGAGCTCGTGTGCGCCGGCACCTGGGGGCACGAATGTCATCCGGAAATTGGCTGGTCTTGCGGGCTAAGAGAGCACGAGAGGTTGTGGTGCACCGAGAGGGCCGAAACTGGATGAGGTCGAAAGTTGAGACTGGGTGAGGTCGAAAGTTGAGACCGAACCCACTGGATGAGGTCGAAAGTTGAGACCGAACCCTGTACGCTAACGGTCTGGAACCCGAAAGTTCTGACTGTTGAGGGGATTGAATTCATCTGTTACGGAATTAATTGTCTGTTGGAAGGCAGCTTTAATGTCATTTTTAATTGCCATAATAAAGACTATTGGCTCCTTCAACCCTATATAAGAGAGGGTAGAGGCAGTAGAGTTTTACACACTGTGAGAACAGCAAGAACACTGCACGAAACATTGTTTTTCCAGCCTCAAAATTCTGCTTCTACTCCTCTTCTTAGCCATACTGTGTTCATAACCACATCTTGCTCGCCGGATTCTTTGTTTGAATGCTCAAACACTGAATCATAGCAAGTTTTATCCTGGGAAGCCTAGGCCACAACGCTCCTAGCATCTTTTGGGAGGTGGCAAATAAGGTTTTAAGGAAAGAGTGCTCACTCGACTGTTGCAAAAACCCAACACCAAACACTAGCCAAATTTCTTCATCTTTTCTTCCCTTCTTTCTAGAAAATAATAGTCAATTTTAATTTGATTATTATTTGTGTTTTCTACCAACGGTACCTACACATGACCCCAATTTTTATTTGAACGACCCTGAGTTCATACAGACGACAACAATTTGTATATTATCATATACATATGTTATTCTTTATTTTTTTTTTTTATAAATAAAATCAATGTTACAAAATATAATGTTAAAATATCTCATTGAGATCTTTTTAGTGATTAATATTAATATATTTGGAATCTTAGTTGCTTATTGATGGACTTGCAATATTAATAAAATGAACACTCTGCATTGTGAAGATAGACCTCCAATATTATCTTAATGAACATATTTTAGTTTCATCAGTATTATGGTATAGTTGCATTATTATTTTAAAGATCAACATTCAGCATTGTAAAAATGAACCACCAACACGGTAAAAATGAACATGCATCGTTATGTTAATGAAACTATTTAAGATCTATCATTATAATGTAGTTGCATTACAATTGTAAAAATTAAAAACGAACTTATAGTATTGTAAAAATAAATTTGTTGTGTTTGGTTAATGAACTTATTTAATGTTTATCAGTAGTATAATGATGTATTTGCATTAGTATTGTAAAACTGAAATTACAGTATTTTGAAAATGAATCAATAATATATTGAAAATAATTTAATAGAGTTTTTTGCACTTTTGGTCCCACAACTATAGTGTTACTAACAACTTTGATCCATGACTTTTAAGACTTGTAGAATTAGCCACGTCTATGACTTTCTTAACAAATTTAGTCCTTCCGGTGCATTTTTCGTTCTATTTTTGCCGAAAAATTTTACTCCATATTTTAACATGGGTAATATTGTCTTTTTTATCTCACAAACTAATGACATAAATAAATAAGTAAACACAGTCAGTGGTACGGTGATTGAAATTAAAAGTCACCCAATTCCACTTGTAGACTTTGAGCTTAATTGCAGTATTGTGAAATTTTAGGCTAAAAATTATTGAGAAATTGCAAGCTTAGCTAAAAAATTTTGGCATTTAGCGGGGAGGGTGAAACTGAAAGTGGAATTGGAATTGGGTGACTTTTAATTTCAATCACTGTACCACTGGCTGTGTTTAATTATTATTTATTTATATAATTTGTTTGTAAGATGGAAAAGACAATATTACCCATGCTAAAATAGGGAATAAAATTTCAGGCAAAAATTGAACGGAAAATGTACTGGAAGGATCAAATGTACTAAGAAAGTCATAGTCGTAGACTAATTCTACAAATTTTAAAAGTCATGGATCAAAATTGTTAGTGATACCATAGTCTTGGGATCAAAAGTGCAGAAAACTCTAACTTAATATAATCGTACGGTAATTAAAACATTAAAATAAAAATGTCAATATAATTATCATTTAAAATATCTTGATTAAAACTTTTTAATGATATAAATATATTTTTTGAGAAAATCAACAGCTCAAGCCTTTTCAGTGGTCCGTCCCCTCCGGCCAAGGTATGCCTCGATTCAGAGACGAGACTCCTGCAGTGCGCGTTTATACTGTTTGCGATGAATCGAAGTTCGTTTGTCTCTATGAAATTTTGTTTGATTAACCAATTTTCGGCCATTTTTTTATTTCACCCGAATGTGTTGGTATCTCTTGCAGATTTTTGATTGTGAGGAACGTTCCATCTCTGGGTTGTGGTGATGATCTCGCAAAATTGTTCACCACTTATGGAGAAGTTGAAGAGTACTGTATTCTTGCTTCAATATTCACTCTTTTATTTTTCTTTTCCTTTTTTTTAAAGCTCTCTTCGGGTAGCCTAAAACGCACTCTTGGATTTCTTATATATTGGGTTTCTGCCAAATTAAAATCCTTTTCATTTTATTCACCTTTTGTTTGTTGAAGGTTGGAATTTTGGAAGTCTAAGGGAGTTCCAGATTGTGGATTTATGGTTACTGCACTTGGAAAAATTTTGTCTTCAGATTAATATGTTATGCTATTATTACTATGCTTTTGATTTCATTGATGTTATTCTGTATACAAGTGATCTGTCTAATTGCTTAGAAGTTAAATTTTCCATTCTTTTTCTCTAATGGATTGTTTTGAGTTAATAACCAATTTAGTCCTTGGCTATAGTGGTTTTTCTCAATTTAGTGGACTTTTTGTGCTTAATTAGATCATTGACTTTGATGGTTTTATCCAATTGAGTCCTCTGTTAAGATAGCTTGGTAATTTCACCTCTATTAATACCCTATTTGATCATTGACTATAGTAGTTTTAGCCAAATTAGTTTTCGACTATAGTGGTTTTTCTTGATTTAGTCATTGATTCTAACAGCCGAGGACTCAATTGGGTAAAACCATCGAAGTGGAGGACCTAATTAAGCACAAAAAGTCGTTTAGGACTAAATCGAGAAAAACCTCTATAGTCGAGGACTAAATTGGGTATTAACTCGGATTGTTTTCTTTTCTCTGGCATAGTCTAAAGACTGAATCATAGACCTCAAGCAGCTTCTTTTCCCCTCCATATGCTTTTCCCTGATTGGTGCAACTCTAATTGGAGTTGTTATCTTTTGAACACTATTTATAATGCTAATCTTTTGGTATTATTTTTGTACTGAGTAGAATTGTTTTTCTTGTTTTTTCTATTGTTTTGCTCAGATGTAAACCCATGGATGCCGAAGACTGTGAACCATTTACTGATGTCTACTGGATCAAGTTCCAAAGGGTAGACAATGCCAGGTGACATTAGCTTTCTATGTTTTTACTGCCTAGGTTTTGTGTGTTTTAAAACTGAATTTTGAAGAACCCAAGAAACTTGCAAAATGGAAAAATGGTGAAAAGTGCCTTGGTTATGTACTTCATATATCAATGGAATCTGTTAGTTTAGAAAATGACAGTATTTTCTTATATTATATTTAGATTCGTTGTTGTTCAAGGAGATGTAACCATTTAGAGACTTTGCGTTCCTTACAGAAATGGAGGGTTATGCTTTGGGAAACGGCTAAAGAAAAGAAAAATTAAATGAGGTTATCTTAGCCTTTGCACCCAGTAAATATATGCTATGGTATCCTAATGCATAGTATACATTATTTGGTATGGAAAGCATGGGATACGGAATAAACTGTCAAGGTCTTGAAGATAAGGGACTGTTGTTATGCATTTATATTGATTTTTGAGGGTTTTTTCGCGACCTTTGACACTAGAAATACTTTCTTTCTTCGTTTGTGAGGAAGTTAGGATATTGGATAGAAAACTATTGAGTATATTTTAACTTTAAAAATCAAGGAAAAAAAATCACTGGCTACTCTATTTTGATTTGGGTCTTCTCATTAATATGTCACCATTTGTATCAGGTACAAGTAAGAGTTTAATGCATAATTAGAAGTTTAGTTTATGCGAAATCAGAATAAATACCATTTATATGAACAAGAATATAGCATTACCTTAATAAAAGGGCACAATTACACACTTCAGTACTGTATAACTGTATCTTCTGTGTGATTGGTTGTCCTTGGTGATTGTACATGTAGCATCTAAATAGTGAATATAGCGATATGCCATCTTGGCATGTATATGGTGTGCGGCTTGAGAAATATAAATGTTTTTCGATATAGGTTTGCCAAGAGGAAATTGGATGAGTTTGTATTCCTCGGGAACAGGCTCCAGGTCTCTTATGCACCTCAATATGAGAGCCTATCTGATACAAAGGAGAAGTTAGAGGGGAGGAGAAGGGAAGTTCAAACACGAGTAAACTGTATGTCATTGACTTGCTGACTTGCAAGGTTGCAGAAGGCACTAGGCACTAGTTGGCGCCTAGCGCCTAGAGTGCCTAGATGGCTGAGTAATAATAATAGGCTCTAGCCGCTCTACACAATCCACAGGCCCGAGAGTTGCCCAGTCGTCCAAAGTTTCCAGCTGTCCAGTCTCCACAACCACACTCCTAGTTGTTGCCGTCGCCACAGCCTTCTAGCCTGGAGGTTTGCGACTCGGCCGAGTTGAGTGCCTAGTTGGCCGACTGACTAAAAGGCGCCTAGGCCAAATTTTTACAACACTATTGGCTTGTACTTTGTATTGGTTGCTTGTTCTTTCCCTTCTGTCCCGAGGCCTGATGCTACTTACAATGTTTCAGCTCAAAGATCCAAAAGTTCTGCAATCCCGGGGCCGGGGCCTGATGCTGCCAGCAAATCTATAATCACTTCAACCTCTTCACATATAACTTCTAAACCATTAGAAATTAATCAAAGGTAATTTTCTTTGCAAGATGATGTGGATAGAATGATAGATTTTTCATAGGAACTATGTACTAAGACATAAAATTGATGTGTTTTCTTTAGTCAGTTCATGGAGCCACAGGAGACCGCTAATAATAGAGATTCCTCTATGACTATAGTATCATCTAACAAGGTTAGCTATAAATGAATATCATGAAATGAAATTCCTTGCATTGTTTTTGGTAACATTTGCAAGAGAAATTTATGTTCTAAAACATTTTCCTCTTTTTACCATTCTAGTTTTTCTTGACTGACAATAGGGTTTTTTCTCGTTCTGTTCAATCACAGGAATATTTTTCATCAGAATCTATGAATCAAACTGTTCGGTTGGTTAGGGAAAAACTAAATAAGGTAAATGAGAATTTTACTGTTACTTGATTTAGAGGTTGAAATGGACTTCATTGAGGCATATTAATTTGTCCATTTTCCTTAGATACAATCCAGTGCAGAACATTCAGAAGCCGGAGCTTCCAAGAAAGTGCGAGTGGACAATAGGAGGAGAATTTGACAAGTTTCTGACAAGTGATGAGAAAAGAAGTTGCTGTTGTTAATACAAGGTTTCATGTCTTCCATCTATCTCTATACTAAAATTGCTATGCTAGGTTAATTGATTTACGTATAGGGGTGTTAATGAACAGAGCTTTAGATAGACTACTCGTGTTTGTATTTGGTAAGCGTTCGTTTACCTTCGCTTATTAAGGTAAACGAATATAAATGAACAAATTTTAGAGCTCGTTTAATAAACGAATAGAATATGAACATTTGTATGCTTGTTTGCTAAGAGCTCGTGAATGCATTTGTTAGTGTTCATTTAATAATATTCATGGACATGCTTGTTTAGTGTTCATTTAAGACTGTTCATGAACAAACTCATTTAAGTGCAATTTAGTATTATTATTTTTTTTTTTTTTAAACTTCAAGATACTACTTTAGTTTAGCCTAATTTTGTATAGTCGTTATGTTAATGTGTACATGTATTTGTTTGTTTAACATTCGTGAACATGTTCGCTAATGTTAAGGGAACATGTCTGTAAATGTGTTCGCGAGCGTTAACGGACGCTTAACAAACGAATATGAACACTTTAAAAACTTAACAACCGAAGAGGTTGTTCGTGTTCGGTCTGTTAACAACCCTGTTTACGTAGCACTCCATCTTATTGGCATTGGCTTGATAGTCTACTAACTTTATGGGCTTCAATATGGCTTACATGTTTATGTTAATACTGCAGCATGGTATAACATGTTACAAGAAATCATTGGACTTTGGTCATCCTATCTAATACTGTGGTTGCCATGAAAGATATTTGCTTTGCAAATCCCTCAAGGAGGGAGAGGGCATTGGGAAAATTGAAAGTACACTTAGCTTGTCATCTATATCTTGTGAATGAATGAAATATGTACAATCAATCAGGCATTTTCCAGTTTATTATGGATGAATATAGATGCCAAAAGAGTTAATTCCAGCAATGGTCCCCGAGTATGTTGATTTTCCACATTTAGTCCCCGTCTTTTAATTTGGACAATATAACCACCCGACTATTAAATTTTTTCCAATTGAGGTCCTTCCGTCAATTGTTGGTTAAATGACCGTCAATTCCAGGGGCAAATGGGTACTTTTACTTACTCAGCGTATAATGACGGAAATACGCGTATTATTTGTTGTTCTACGTACATTGGCCACCGTCACTCCGCACCACACACAACGGAAACTGGCATCTTCCGGCTGCCGTGTCTGGATCGAGCTCCCCAAAACGCAGCAGCTAGTTCCAGTTCCCAGGATGCTAATGCCTATGACCATATCTCTGCTAACAAGCCGGCGGTGAGGGATGTGATCTCCGATTTCTCCAGCTCCAGTCGAGTAATTATAGGTGTTGTTGTGGATATGTTCAGTACAAGTATGATTGATGTTGTCGATGAGTTTGGACTTCCCAGCTAGGTGATTTATACCTCCGGCGCTGACTTTCTTGGCCTCAAGTTTTACGCCCAAACGCTCAGAGATGATCACGGCCGGGACATTGCTGACTACCGAGGCTCGGAAGCGAAGCTGTAGGTTTCGAGTTTCGCGCGCCCTGTACCGGCTAAGGTCTTGCCTACTCCCGTCCTGGACAAATATGGCCTTTTGGTGCAACACTGAGCTCGAATAGTCCAACTACCATGGCCACCTGATTCTGACGGATTCATAACACAATTTTCAACAATTCGAATATTCACATGGGGTGTATCTATGTTCGCTGTTGCAGTGGCGCCTTGTGAAGAAGATGGCGCGTCGATGCCTTTGTAGGCTCTGGTGGCGCGCGGTTTTGTTACCATTGTCGCTGTTTTTGGCAGTGGCTACTATTGTAGTGGTCGGAGTTTTCGGGGTGGGTCCGTCGGTTAACCAGCTCTGGTTGAAAACCATTTCCGTCGTCGAATTTTTAGAAACTGGTCGCAAATTCCCGGCGCCAGAGGTTAGTGCACACCTCGAGGGCTCGCCGGAGTGCCACCATGCTGATAATTTTTCTAGCCCAGAAGCTCCGTCGGTGAAACCCGTGCAGATTCAATCAGAAGATGTATTGGGGCCTTATCATGATTGGGAGCTTTTCGCCGCTGATTACGAAGAAATGATCAAAACCTTAAAGATTTTCGTGTATCCAGACGTGTATTTTAGCAAATCTTCACCTTTAGCCCAGCGTGTTTCTTCCCCACCCAGACCCTTCAAAGCAAGGGAATTACTTCAGCGAGCACATGTTCAAGGTGGCGCTTCTCCGGAGCTCGATCCAGACGCGGCAGCCGGAAGATGCGCAGTTTCCGTTGTGTGTGGTGCGGAGTGACGGTAGCCAATGTACGTAGAGCAACAAATAATACGCGTATTTCTGTCATTATACGCTGAGTAAGTAAAAGTACCCATTTGCCCCTGGAGTTGACGGTCACTTAACCAACAATTGACGGAAGGACCTCAATAGGAAAAAATTTAATAGTTGGGTGGTTATTTTGTCCAAATTAAAAGACGGGGACTAAAAGTGGAAAATCAACATACTCGGAGGACCATTGCTGGAATTAACTCATGCCAAAATTTCAACTTATGTTTAGTCTCTGTCCAAGTCCCAAAGGGGCAAATAGGTTCTATCTTACTACTCTTTTTCTTTTTTAATAATAATTATACTTTGGATGTTTGTCACATTTGTTTATTTATTTTAATTTAATTAAATTTTTAGTTGTATTAAGTATAGTATGATACTCTGTGTGTGTCTCTCTCTCTATATAGATATATATTATGTTGTAATTTTTAAATAATTTGTGTGCAAACTCAAGAAATTAGAGTAATATTATATTGATCATTTTCTTGGATTTGAAATTATAATTGTTATAAAATATAAATGTTTGATATTAAATTGTTAAATTTTAAAGGTTTTAATATAATTGCGTATAATTGTCAGAAAGTTATAAAAGTTTGATTTTTTTTTTTTTCGCAAAGTTTTAAAATTTTGGATATAATTGTCACAAAGAACAAAGGTTTGAGTTATTATTGGCAAATAAGCCAATTTAAAAATATATTCAATTTATTAAATATATGTAATATGTTCTGAACATATATATATATATATATATATACACACATACACACACGAAATTCTACATAATCACCATTTTTATTTAAATAAAATTACATGTCAGCAGTGTGGCAACTCGGGGGTAACTTGCAAAAAAAGTTAATCGACAAATTTTTAGAGGTAAATGTGTTCAATTACATTATGTTTTAGTTGATTGGGGAAATTGAACACTTCGAAGTAGATGAATGGACCTCTTTGTAGGCCTGAGCATCGGTCAGATACGAACGGATCGGATTTCCAATCTGTCCATTCGATCGGATTTCGGATTTCATGTTTACCCCCCAATCCGTTAATTTTTATGGACAGATCCTATCGGATTTCATAGGTTCGGATTTCGGTTATCCGTTGTCGGATTTCGGATGATAATCGGATATAATAAATTAATATAAAAAAATTCTAAAATAGATAAATAAGTCATAATAGCAATAAATTAAAGGCATAATGAGTTTCATTACCATAGCATAGCAAAACATACAAGTATACAACTATAAAAGTTTCAAACTAAGTTAATAATTACAAATTTTCAATGATTATACAAAAAATCATGCTTAAGACTTAAGTGTTTAACTTGAACAAAATACATTAAGCACTTAAGTTGTTAAGCAGTAAGTCATAGACTTGAACATCACTCAGCATTCAGCAAAATCAGACTATGAATAGTCGGCAAAATCAACACTAATCTAGATATGTAGTAATCTATTCTTCTTCCTGCTAGTATTCAAACTTAAAACGATATTAGTGTTTAGAGTTTAGAGAATAGACTATTAGACATTTAGACTAACAATACTAGGCAATTATTCAGTAGGCTAAGTGACTCAGAGTGCAATTTTCCATATCAAGTAAGAATGTGGGCACATTGCTCAGAATGTGTTATATTAGCACATTGACAACATACCAACTCCATTCCATTTATTCAGACAAAAGTGGAAGCTTCATCATAGCCACCAAATAAAACAAATACATTCAAACTGAAAACAGAGTAAGGAAGAGTTATACCAGAATTCCAGACTCCAGAGAAATGGGCAAATTGGGCTCGGGCTCAACTCATCTAATGGAAGCAACAATTCAATAACAGAAAGTTGCCAAGCCACTTAGAGGCTAAACACCACTTGCAACAACATAAGTACATAACAGAATATCAAACAGATTAAAGAAATGAACACATTGTAAACAAATATTAAAAACATTACAGTGATTGTAGGCAACATTGATGGTATAGTAGATGAAGCTCCAGTGGGCAATTCTGCAAAAGTGAAAAACAGAATAAGTAAGTAGGAAGGTGATAAGGAAATAAAGAATAAAAAAAGTAACTAAGAAAGTGATAAGTTTTACCTTTCTCTTATCTTTCAACATCCTCCAGGTTCTCCTCAACTTGGATTGGCTGATTAGGTGCCCTCAACCAATCTTGAGTACATATTAGTGCTTCCACTATTTTAGGAGTCAAGGAACTTCTAAATGGATCAAGTACTCTTCCAGATGTACTAAAACAGCTCTCAGATGCAATTGTGGAGATAGGAACTGCAAGCACATCTCTAGCCATTTTGGAGAGAATAGGAAATCTCTCACTATGGCTCTTCCACCACTTTAACACATCAAAAGCAACATATTCATCATCCTCCACAAGACTTTCACTTAAGTACACTTGCAGCTCAGTTTGCTTACTGCTTCCACTACTTTCCAATCTTTTTTTTTTTTTTTTTTAAATTGACTCTTCAAAGATGACTGAGGCCTACGAACTGTACAAGTAGTAGCCTGGTTAGTCTCAGACTGGACTGCTTGAGTAGAGGATGCAGTCTGGGTAGAACTGACAGAGTATGTAGCTGCATAATCATCATACAAAGCAGCCATTGCAGATTGGACCTTGGTAAAACAAGCTTTGCCTTTCACTTCTCCATACAACTGGGCAAACTGATGAGGCATGTACTCCTCCTTATCTCTGGGGTCCAGAATATTGGCAAAAAAAAAATGATAGAGTTCATTTTTTCTGGATCCCCCCAATATTTGTCAAACGTGTTCCTCATTCGTGTCCCCATTGCCTAAAACAGGAAAAAAAAAAAAAAAAAAAAAAAAAAAAAACAAAAGTTATAAGTTTACAGCAATTACAAAAATTAATAAAGCAAACAAATTTAAAGATAAATGAGAATACCTTTTCAGTCCCATGATCAGAGTTCACCATAGCTTCAAGCATGCAACTGAGATCAAAGATCTCAGAGAAGAATGTGTTGGATGTGACATAAAGTGAACCAGAGATCCTCACTGTCATATAATAAAATGCTTTCAACAGCTTCACTAAGCTTTCCACAGAACATCAATCCAAGAAGGTAGGAGCACTCCCCAAGTCAGCATAATAAGAGGGATCATTTCTCTCATATGCATCAAACACTACTTGATATTGAACTGCAGTGTTGAGCATAATGTAGGTGCTGTTCCACCTTGTAGGGAGTGCACGATTGAAGCACATAATATATATATATATATATATATATATATATATATATATATATATATATATGTATGTATGTATGTATGTATGTATGTATGTATGTATGTATGTATGACATACATACATACATACATACATATATATATATATATATATATATATATATATATATATATATATATATGTGCAAGAAGTCTAGAGATTTGCAGAATCTTATAAAACATTATAGAACTCATATGATTGTTTACAATTTTAGAGAAGATTTTAAGGATAAAATCGTAGTCATACGATTAAGTAGATGTCCATCGTCCGTTGGGGAGGTAGATAAGTATAAATAATCTCATGGAGCTCATTTTGTAACGATGCAAGTGGTCCCAATTATTAGATTGAAGATGAAGGAGGATGCTTGGTGATGAAGGAGTCTAGAAAGAGGATGAACAAAAAAAATAAGAGAAGAAAAAACCGAAACTTCCTTGACAAGCACCAGAGAATCTATCTCTACGTGGTTAAAATCTCATCCTTTATATTAGTCCAGCTTAGAGCCTCCCTAGCCGCCATGGCTTCTGCTTCAAATGTGGCTTCTGCTTCAAATGGGCGACATAGGCCGTTCTTGTAGACTCCTTTTGTTGCCAGAAAATGCCCTTGATCATCGCGAAGCCACCAGCCGAGCCCCACCCTTCCTGAGCTTTCGTCGAGAGCAGCGTCCACATCAATCTTTATCAAGCTTTCATGTGGCCAAGTCCACACCTCTGGATACATGGGTTATTGGGGGAGAAAATTATTATCAATTAGTTTGCTTCCCTCCCTTCGGATATAAGTGGTTGGACTTCTCAACACATGATACACAGACGAAACTTTGTGATGCCAAATAAACTCATTCCTGGTTAACCCGAGTCTTTTAAAAAGTTGTCAACCAAACAATATATATGACCTTCATTCCATTCCTTATATCTAACCCCATACTAAACACACCTTAAGCTCTATCTGATCTAAGTTTTCTTGATCGGTGGGTATTATGGGAAACTTGGTAAAGGTAGAAGGGATCCATTATACTTTAGGTCAGTGTTGTAAAAATATCAGTCTAGACAACCACCTAGACATCGACTAAGTGAGCGGCCGCGCCGCCCCTAGGCCGAGGTGATTTTAGCTCTAGGCGGCTTTTAGTCGATCAGCACCTAGGCGCCTAATTTGGCAGCCTAGCCTAACTTGACCGACTCAGTGCCTAACTCGATAAGTCAGACAAGCGTTTTTTTTTTTTTAATTCCCTCTCACCTACTCAGTTGCTCCGCTTCAATATTGCTATAACCATGTACTCATCAGCTGCTCTCTTCAATATTCTTACAACCATGTACTCATCTAGCAATGTAGATTACGCAGTTGACTAGTTTACAGATTATAACAGTCAAATTAAACAGCTCACAACCCACCACCTTTTTTTCTTTTCTTTTAATAATTACTCAACCACCGCCCGTTCTAGGCGTTATGTGCCTGACTAGCACGCACTAGTACCTTCTGATACGCTCATCCTTTTGATACGCTCATCCATTAGAGGGATTAGTCATTGTGTCGGAGGATGGAAACCTAGATACATCCAAAAGGTTTTGATGGGCATGCATGCAACACTCAACTCATTCTTTTTAAAGTCATTAAATTAATTTCTCCTATATTTTGCTAAATACTGGCACGATGTGTGAGAGAGTAAAGTTCATGCAAACAATCAAGAGGTAGTCATTGATTGACTACTTCAACATGAAATGTGATTATATATACCTAGTAAATTCAATTCTCTAGCTAGATAGAATATCTCAAAGTCAAATTAAACTCACATGAAAACAAAAGTAAAAACTTTCCAACTTTTACTAAGTTTTAAAACTAAATTAATTACCAAACAAACTAAACACAAAATTATCATATATGATATTTACCCGGCAATAGCAACCTCCATTCGACACCTGCTGGCAATTACAGCAATTCTAGTTGCAGCTATAGCACATAAGATCAGTAACAACAGTAGTTCACGTCTCCAGAATTTCCTCCACAAATTTCTCACGCCTCTGATCTTCCAGATTAGATCGCATTCATTCGACTAGCAGCAGCGATTCCTTACGGCTGCAATCTCAATTTTTCAGTTTTTCTCCTAATCACTTCCCTCCTCTCTCATGGAATTTTTCATTTCGCCAATTCTCTTCTCTCGTTTTTATTTTCACTTTTCTTTTATCAGAATATTTCTTCCCAGGCCTTTTGATCGTTTTTCAGTTTGCTATTTTTCTGTTTCTGTTCAGAGTTCCTCGGATGACTTTTTTTTTTTTTTTTTTTTTTTTACTATATATACGCGTTCAGGTGAGAACGAATTGAGAATCAATCGCAGCTATTTACGTGTCCAGATTTAATGGATTATATATATATATATATATATATATATATATATATATATATATATATATATATATATATATATATAATCACACTCACATGTGAATGCTTTGTCCAAGCGCGAAATAGGAATGGATTCTGTCCGTCCACGTGTCCAGATCTAATGGATGAGAAACACTGATTTTTTTAAAACAGTACGGTGGCATTTTCGTAAATAATTAAATATCGAAATGCAAGTAAAATGTATTACAAGTGCATGTAAAATGCATTATATGTGCAAATAAAAATTTACACTGAGCATCAATACGAAATGCACCTAGAGTTATAAGTAGTTTCACATATACTTCTAAGTAGTTGCACATATATATATATATATATATATATATATATATATATATATGTATATACATATACATATATGTATATGTATATGTATATATATATACATATACATATATGTATATGTATATACATGTATGTATATACATATACATATATGTATATGTATATATATATACATATACATATACATATATGTATATGTATATACATATATATATATATATATATATATATGTATATGTATATGTATATGTATATGTATATGTATATGTATATGCATATATATATATGTATACATATATATATACATATACATATACTGATATACATATATATATATATATACATATACATATATGTATATGTATGTATATATATGTATATGTATATGTATATGTATACATGTATACATATACATATACATATATTTTTACAGTCATATTCATGTAAAGTTCAAAAGAGATTAAAATGATAATTGGAATCTTTTAGTCTAATAAAAGCCTGTAACTAGAGCAACTATAAGTGCATAACAATAAAGAGCAGCTATAACTTATGACTTAATGTTTAAATTATAAGTGATTATGTTTGGATTGTTTGAATTATGCGTTATTTTGTTTTGTTTTTTTTTTTTGTCAGAATAAGTTGCATTGCAACTGAATGTATTAACACAAAATGGAGATGAAGTAGATGAGAGTTGATTGTACTATGGTGCAATTGGCGGACATAATAAGAAAAGAAGAGTTTATGGTCTTGGCTCATATGGTACCTTTATTCGTGGTTCAATAAATGCTAACACATTAGACAATATAACATCAACCTCGTGCCTTCAGACAATGCTAATTCTACAAAGATGCAAGATGAGATTGAGAATTTGAAGGCTTCTATGGTTCTTATACAACAAAGATTTGATGCTCTTAGAGTGAGAAAGCTGGTGTATCATCATCACCCTCATCACAACCGAATTCAACTTGATATTGATTTTTTTTTTTTTTTTTTTATGGATTACTATATTGATGTTTAGATATGAACTTGGTATTAAGTACAACATTTAAATTTTTAAACTACAAAGTAGTATCACTTTTATATTACAAATTATATTGTATTTTAGTTTGCATATTAACATTTTCAATACAAATATTAGAGTTTTAACAAAATAATCAAAATTACAAAAATAGTAAAATAATAATAATTTACCAGCATCACGATAAATATGATTTTAGCGATGGAATATTCATTGTTATTATAGCGACGAAATTGGTGACGGGAAGATTTTTGTTGCCCAAAACGCGACGGAATCACGACAGTGATTAGTGCCGTTATTTTTCTACGACGAAATTTTGTGACGGAAAACAAACTTTGCGACCAAATATCTAGCGATGGAATCACTACGGAAATTTGTTTCGTCGTTTTCTTACGATGAAATTTTGCAACGGAAGAAAAA